AGGGGAGTACCCCCCCCGGGACAAGAAGTTGAATGAAGATTGTGTTAAATTATAGCTGTTATTCATAGGTTGCACATGGGAATGTTGAAACTGCATTGACAATCTTGACGAATCCTCAAAATAGCCAGGTATCATTAGTGATGACACAATATTATTCTGTAATACTTACTTAAATAGTATACTATCTTTCTATATTTCCCATTRTCTAATCAAAACTATTTTGTAGTCATTAATAGTATGTGTGTGATAAGGTTGAAAATAATGTACGTTACATGCGTTGCATGACACACAGTGTGACATGAGCAATCACGCAATGTGTCAGTTGTCTTGTAATAAAGTTAGTTCTTTGGCTAGCATACCAGCAAGTACGTTGGCTGGATCTGTTTTTTAACCAAAATATTTTAAATGACTAATTTCTTACAAAGTAATATTTTTTTGAACTTTTTGTCTTATAATGTGTACTGCAACTAATATTTCTTTCTTCCTTGATACTTTGCAGCCAATACAAGAGGGTAACCAAAAAGGTAATAAAATGTAATATCATTTTATGTAAAAAGTATATAGTGTTATTTTGTATGCTAACAGTTGTAAGGTATAATCAATGTTTGGGTTTTTTTAGCGATACAGACCAGTGTAGTAAAGAATTCTACCATCAAACAAGGTACAATTAWTGCTTAGCAAGGTTAAAGCCATGCAGTTTATATGATACAAAATGCTAAGGTGTAAWTTTTTTCAGATGAAGTGATTGATTTGACTAAAGATGGTAACGACAGAGATGAGGACCTTGAAAAAGCCATTGCACTAAGCTTACAAGAGTCTCATCCTAGTGCTCCTCAGGTTAGCATTAATTTTAACATTACATTTATTTAATGGGAAGCACTATTTACATGTCTTGTCCAGACAGAGATTATACTCTGGATAAACCAGACACTAAGGCTAGTTATGCTATTGCTTGATTGATGMTAACTGAAACTATTTTACTTTTTCTTTTCAAATTATAACTTGTAATTTGTAGGGAATTACAGCTGAAGAACAGGATATCAGTAGGTATATTCATATTTTATATTCATATCAGTAGGTAGGTTTGATATGATGAACCAAAGAATGCATGCAACACCAATTGCTATTTTTAGACTCAGTGCTAATAATAGTAAGAAATGTTGCTATAGTAACCTGCAGGGTCATACCAAGTCCACTTAGTAACCATAAGTCTCTGCTGGACATGGAAACCCTGGAATATGACAAGTGTGTGGTTATTAGCAATAATGTATATGTTGCTTGATTCACGAGGTAGATTTATTATCTATTATAATATGAACTTCTTCAATATTTTTACATTGCAGAGTTCTTGAAGCAAGTCTTAATGAAACCAAATCAGGGTTAAAACGGAAAAGGGGTGATCCTTGGATGACCTTTGTTGATCCTGTTAACCCATATGAGAGAAAGAGGAATGAGGGAACCCCTGTTGGGTTTAAAAATGTTGGYAATACATGTTGGTTTAGTGCAGTTATTCAGGTAATGTTTTGATGTCATGGTTAATCTTCATTGCATGATTTGTTAACATTTCTTGGCCATACCAATGTATTCACAAATTTGTAGTGGTGTTTCTCACACTGTGACATTAGATTAAAAGCCAAGATTCAGTTGCATAAGCATAGTGYGTAACCTTAGAGAGCAACCTGAAAAACTTCACTGCTTGATGTAGACCATTTTGACTTGATAGGTAGTGTCAACCCATATACTTTAAATGTACAATCACCAAAATACAGTTATGTTTATGTAATGGTTTTATTTTGTTATTCTTTCAGTCACTTTTCCATCTCCCTGTCTTCAGGAAACTTGTATTGAACTGTGAACTCCCCTCTATTGAAAACAAGGAATCTAAAGTTAGTAAATCAAATTATTATCTCTATAAACAAATGATATTTAATCAGTATTTCATTCTTTATCAGGATACCAACAGATTACTGTTCATGTATGAACTCAGAAAACTCTTTGCAATGCTCATTGGTAGCAAGAGGAAATATGTTGACCCTACAAAAGCTGTAGAGGTATGATACTTTGTTTCTGTTTAATTGTTTGTCAATTAAAACCATGGCCCCCAACTCAAACAAAATACTGGGTAATCGACATTTAACAAAGTGGTAATCCTCCTTCCCTGATAGCAGTTGTTGGTCWGGATTTCAATTGACTGGTGTATTAGTTTGKTTGTTRWTGGTTTATCTGTACAATTATTTTGTATCTGCTTCAGATTTTAAAGGAAGCCCTGCAATATAATGGAAGTGAGAGTAATCCTGGCAATCAACAGGTGAGCATTTATTGTCAAGATAACAATTATGACTGGAGATAATGTTTTATTATTTGATACCAGGATGTTAGTGAGTTTACCCATAAGTTATTAGAATGGCTGGAAGACACCTTCAAAGTAGAAACTTGTGCAGCAAGTAGTAAAAAGTAAGACAATTGTAAAATGATGTCAGACAACTTCTAAGCTTAACAATTTTGCCATTTTGTTTTAGTTCAAATCCAGTCATGGAATTGTTCTTTGGCCAGTCAAAAGTAGAAGGTGTTTATGAAGGTATAGTACGTTTGCATCAACATGATGCAAAACTCAATAATATTCAATCTGTCATTTACTCTGTCTGTCTGTCTGTCTGTCTGCCTTTTAATCAATTATACAATACCAGGTTATATTATTTTCTATTATATACAGAACTTTCAATGATTTTCTTTATTGCTTTACTACAATGACGCATTTGAATTCCAGGCAAGCAGTTTTCCAACCTGGAAATGTTTGGTGCCTATCCTGTACAAGTACAGGGCTATAGTAACCTTTATGACAGTCTTGAAGGTGGAATGGCAAGGGGTAGAATAGAACCTGCTAATGATATTCATTCCCATCAGTCAGACCAAGAGGTATGTTAATAACACCCTATCAAGTCAGCCATTGTAACTACAAGTGCTAAGTTCTCTATGTTTGTGCTAGAAATATTGTTAAAACTCCTAATAAAATTATTATTAATTATTTGTTGATGGTTTTTAGCATTGGTTTACRAGACTGCCAGCAGTTCTCAAGTTCATGTTGTCACGGTTTCATTTCAACCAATCAACTGGTAGAGCAGAAAAAATTCATGAAAGATTTGGATTTGATAGAATTGTTTACATGGATAGGTAAMGTACTGTGAACCATTTTACTGGCTGACACATCTCCACAGTATGTGGCTTTAGCAGTTCATTCATGTTAATTAGCTGTTTGCTTTGTAGATATATGGAGAAAAATAAAGAAGTTACAAGGATAAGAAGAGAAGAAGTCAAAAGGCTTAAAGAACATTATCATTTATTAAAGAAAAGTCTAGACAGGTGAACATAATGTAAAATTACACTAAATGTAAGCCTTTGGTGTTATCTTTATTTTGAATTTTGAACCTTTTTCAGCTTCACAAATTATGGGACAGGCTCACGGCACATCAAGGATATTTTAGATAGCTCGTTACAGTTCATTCAAGCCACACCTCCTTTAATCGATAATGGTGATGTTGAGATGGCATCAACACCAAGTTCACCACGGTCTGTTGGYGCTTCCACCAAGGCAGGACTCCTGACAGAGAGTCGACTAGCATYACTTCGACCAGCACCACGATATGTGACTGAGGGTGAACTGGTAACATTAGAAAGCTGTTTGCGGAGATGGAAAAAAGAAGTAGAGCAAGATGTTAAAGGTACAATAATTATTGAATTACAAACTTGACATGTKATGACATTTATGACTGATAAATAACACAACATGATGATACTTGGTCACAAATCTTCAGCAATTTGTGCGCATCAATAAAATAAATTTGCTTTATGTTAAAATTAATTTTATGGTGATCTTATTCAGATATTTCTAAAAAGATGTCAGAAGTTGACGAAGCTGTTTCATTAATGTATGATGATGATGGAATGAAAAAGGTATTTMCAATTTGTTTACAATTTCAATTTATTTATTATCACATTATCATTTGTTGACCATCCAATGGTTGTATAACAAGTACAACAGGATGTATGTATAAGTACATGATAATTACAGATATTGACTGAAGTTCATACGTACAATAGGAATAAGTTTAATTTAGTAAAATAAATGTGAAGAATGATTACTCCTGGGTGGTAGGCAGATCTAATGTGATGTATTTTGAAGTTTTAAAMGGAATTATTAATTTTTGGTAATTAAAGGCTTTTTATTTAGGTTCCGTATCGCCTTCACGCTGTACTAGTACACGAAGGACAGGCCAATGGCGGCCACTACTGGGCATAYATCTACAACTCACAAGAACAGCAGTGGCGGAAATTTAACGACATTACCGTCAGYGAGGTGTCATGGGACGAGGTTGAGAAGGAATCGCTAGGGGGATACCGTAATGTCAGTGCATACGGACTAATGTACGTTGATGCTACAAGAGAGGGACTGGTGCAAGCCAGTGATAGGCTGGATGTTTTACCCAGAGATCTTCAGATTCTTGTTAATGAAGATAATGAGAAATTTGAGAATGAGATGGAAGAGTGGGATGAAAAAAAAGCAACCTCTTCTCCAGGTAATAATCTGAATTGAATGTGTTTGTTATGCCAGAATGTAGTCTTATATATAGTCTTTAATATCTAGTTTTCAAGTTTTTTTTTTTGGGGGGGGGGGGGGACTACGGTAATCATGACACATTTATTGGCCACAAAAGGGTAAAGGTTTKTAATTTTTTGTAGAAGATAAAGTCTCTCCACGTCAAGAGCTGTTAATGGATGCCGAGACGTCGTGTACAGTAAGTCCCTATGASCACGTTCCCGGTATCAGAATCACCAAAGCAAGCTCAGAAGAAGACTTAGATATACTACTTACTGAAATGTGTAAAAGTGAAACTGAACGACTAGAGCAAATCTCCCGTGATCACCCCCCTGAAAGTCCTCGTGACGTTCGATTGGAAAGTATAAGTATTTACCTGCTACGGTGTTGTGCTCCTCTAGAAGTGACAAAATGGGCCATTCTTAAGCAGGTTACAGAGAATATAAAGAGTAAGACTGACCCAAGGTACGGTAAACCAGCTGTATAATGAACTATGTGCTTTTAACATGRGTTTGTGATGTTCTGCGCTGTTTTGTATCAAACGTTGTAATGATTATCATTAATGTATTGTTAATTTGCAGCTATGAACCATTACTGAAAAGAGCCAAGGTTCATCTCACTGAGGAAACTTTGAGAAAACCCGACGTTTATGAAGTTAGTTGCGTTTACATGTAACTGTTGTAATTAAATGTGATATTGGTAATAACAGTACCTTCTTTTTCTTTCCTTTTTTTTTGATTAACAGAAATGGGAAGAAAAATACTTGGTGTTTCAGAAAGTAAATTCGTGTTTTTTGACCGGTTTGGAACATTTACACAGCAAAAAGTATGCATTAATCAGTCWTATTTTCCAGTAATAATCTCRAGTTCTTACTTTTCTGTTTTTATATTTTGATAGGTTTCAAGATGCACTTCCTTATCTTGTACATGCATATAACTTGAATCATAAGCTAAAAGACCCAACCCACCCCCAACAGTCTATGGATGAGAATTTACTGGCGTGTTGTAGACGAATATGTTTTCTAGTAAGACATGTTGTTATCTGCATTCCTACCGACCTCCTCTAATWGAAGATTAAATTGATGTTTTTGTTTTCCAGAAATTGAACGAACACACGATTGGTTTATTTGAAGGCAGCAACTATTCGTGTGTTTGCAGGGGCCTGGATCTAGTTAGTGATCTTATCGTTCCATGTATACCAACATTGATGTCCAGTCAACATAGTGAAGATCGTGAAGCCGTTGAACAAATCAGACACAAGTGGTTTGGATATCTAGGCAGTGACATCGATGGTAAGCAGTTTGAGCTCTTAGTTCTGTTTCACATAGTTTCAATTCGTCATGTTATGTATTCTTTTCAGAACAAAGACAGAAAAAGCTCGAGGAACTACTTCCATTGTTAACATCAGATGGACAGCAAGAAATGCGACCACCACCTGTGCTAAGACCGACCAGCGCCAGGGATCTTTGTGAACGATTCACGAAAGCCATGGAACTAGTGCATGCAAATATGGCCTTTAGTGCAAAGGCATGAACAATCACCATCCATAGTTCCTGGCATGATGTACAGAAATTATGTCCGTGATATAGTCGATCCTGGGAGAAATATCCAATGTTTTCCAAGGAATACGTTTTTTATCGTGCTGTTATATAATACTGAAATATTTGTAAAATGCTGGTTGGATGAAGTTGTGTTGGGTATGAATAAAATATACAAAACATATCTCTAAAATGATGTACATCAGTCCTTGCCTGGCTTCCTTTCAACAGCAAGACGTAATGCGCATGTCATTGCGACCATGCAAAATGCAACTCACAAACTGTAGTGAGCGGGTTACTATGGTTTAGTAAGTAAATCTAATGGCGGTAAAAAGGTTAAAAGCTTTTGACAAATCAGATACAAGATAAAAGACACGAAGAAGCTGAGTTTSTATTGTTTTAGCCGAACGCCTATAGTACCCATGGTAAATGGATTCTATTTTTAACCTGCTGTTTTATCGCGACAGTGTTTGTTTCACGTGATCAAAGAWCGAGCTCAAACCGTCAATATTTACTAACAGGCTTATTAATGAAACAAGGTTATGTTATTTGAAGAACTGACATGAGGGAACATATTTTACTAATGATATTCGTCATTTCCATGGCTCAAGACGGCACTGCCAAGCCACCAAACATAGTTTTTTATCTAGTCGATGATCTTGGATGGAGTGATGTTGGATATCAAAATATGTCAATAATATCCACACCCAATATCGACCAATTGGCGTCGGAAGGAGTTATACTCGATAATTATTATGTTCAGTCAGTGTGCACTCCAACAAGGGCAGCTTTATTGACAGGAAAATATCCCATTCATACAGGTGGGTACATGTWTACTTGCTATGGTAAGTCATCAARGTGCGTTTATTACGAGAATAAATCGACAATGGTTTCTTTTATAATGTGGGTATTCAATTCATTGCCAGGTTGACTAATGTAGTTTAAATTTAGTCTCGACGATGAATCTAGTCCACGAGTGAGTTAAGAGGATAATCAATCCAATTGAGTGAAAAATTTCAATCAATAGAGAGACTGTTTCTCACCTAAATATCATAATAGAAAAAAACTATACAATCCTCTTTTCTTTATTGGCTTTTCTATGTTAGTAGATATTGCTTGAAATTTTTATAACATTTGACAAGGAGTGAACCACCTGTTCGTCCTTTATCACCTGCCTGGTTTGACATTGATCTCAGTACGATCAAACTCCTCCGTCAATTAAAGAACGGGTATTCTGTGTTTGCGATTAACACTCCGTGAATGTCGTTCTTATATTCCATTTTCATCCCATTAAAAAGTCCTATCCGATATTGCCCTTCATCAAGCGTTTACAGGCGTTAGATAGAGAGAGAGAGAGCTATGTGTGATGTATCGAGGGCGTGTCTAAGGAGTCCGTCACCCATGTCACTTCTCTAGTTCCCCTCAAACTAGATTTTGTATTTACCAGTCTGTATGATCACTAGGGAATTTTTAACAAAAGTCAGTAACATTAGATTTGTACAGGAATGCAGCATGGTGTRATACTACCCCAACAACCATATGGACTCCCTCTGGACGTGACACTGCTCCCGCAGAAATTAAAAGATGCTGGTAAGTTGTGCGGTAGCCTCGTCTCTAGGTAACTYTCGGTGTTTGTTTSGGGATAACATCACATTTTGTAGGGGGTGGATTGGAGACGAGTCTAGAATCTGTTAACCAAGGAAACCCGCTAAAGCTTTATAATTTTCGGTTTATCATATAAAAGGTTACATCAGTCATATTGTTGGTAAATGGCATCTTGGCTATCATGAATGGCAGTACACACCCACCTATCGGGGATTTGACACTTTCTACGGGTTTTACAATGGTGCCGAAGACCACTGGACTCATAAAAAGAACGGAATACTTGATCTACGAGATCAAAAAATCCCGGTGACTGATATGAACGGCATCTTCTCTACTAATATGTTTACTAAGGTTTGTTTGTTATAAACTGTATTGATATATAGATTTTATTCTACAATGTATGCAATTAAATATATAGATTTATTGCTCAAATATCGGTTTAAAACTGCATGCAACACAATAGACGGCTAGTACTAGCACAGGATTGCTTTAATTCATGTTGTAATTTAACATGTTGTATAAATACAGCGAGTGTTAGAGATAATCARTGGCCACAATTCGTCCATGCCTCTCTTCCTTTACATCCCATTTCAAAGTGTYCATACTCCAAACCAAGCACCCGAGACGTTCACCAATCAGTATAGCTTCGTGCACGACGAAACAAGAAGGATCTATTTAGGAATGGTTGGTGCAGTGGATAACGCCATTGGTACCATTACAGACGCAATGAAGAAAAGAGGGTGGGCACCATSATTTAATTGTTTAGTGCTGTCCTCTGTACGATTTTCCTTAGAATGCAGACGTTTCCGCACGTCGAAACATTTTCTCGAAACTTCTGCTTGGTACATGTAGTCAGTTTTTTAAGTTGATTTGTCCCAGTTATCTTTTAGATTACAGATTTTATTTATCATTTTCAGTCTTTGGGAAAACACATTAACAATATTCAGCTCTGACAACGGTGGTAATCCCATATATGGAGGTTACAACTGGCCACTACGAGGTACGAAAGGAAGTTTATGGGAGGGTGGGGTGAGAGGAGCAGCTTTTGTTCATGGCTCAATGATCGAAAAAAAGGCAAGAAAGTGTAAAGAGCTCTTGCACGTCACTGATTGGTTCCCTACTCTAACATCACTGGCCGGTGAGTGTTATCATTAGCCGGTGAGTGTTATCACTAGCCGGTGAGTGTTATCATTAGCCGGTGAGTGTTATCATTAGCCGGTGAGTGTTATCATTTCCATCGTCCTCCTACCGCGACTTCACAAATCATTTCATGCGTTTTGCATCAAGGTCTGAATATTGAAAAAGACGAATTTGAAGGACTTGATGGGTTCAATGCGTGGAACACGATTTCCAAAGGAGAACCATCCCCAAGAAAAGAAATATTACTCAATTTAGATGAGCATGAATCAGGCGAAGCGACAATATCGTTCGAAGGAGCAGCAATACGTGTGGGAAACATGAAACTACTGATGAACGTAATCAACTTTCCTTGGTTTATTTCTCCTGAACTCGGCGATGGCGGACAAAAATACACAAGGTTATTATGGGAAGTGTTAATAGCGGGAATAAGACCCGTAGAAGATATGCCAGAGAAAACTAAACTAAAGCTTAAGGTAAGATATTCAGCCATTGCTTATACCAGGTTATATCGGCTCTCCCATATTTAGTATTACCATACTAGTGGACTATTGCAAATTCTTCGTTCTGATTGGCAACGCTACTCGGGGTCTATTTTCAATAGTCCTCGACAAGCGAAAAGCGACGTTTTGCGTATTTTTAGCAATAAAAAAATTTAGTTATTTATGTATTTCATTCATTTTTTGTCCAACTAGTATGGTAATACTAAAWCAATTAGTTTGGCCTCGTGGACTATGAGCCGATCCAGATAGCCCATTCAGCCTTCGGCCTCATAGGCTATCAGCTYGTAGTCCACTCGCCCTCGAGATCGAATTGTTAAATATCCCTCGGGAAATTGTGCTGACAATCTTCTTAACATTCTGGGCTGGAAAACCCTAGATTGCCAGCAKTAAGTGGAACGTGCAACAATGGGCTTGCTCCCAATTATCGGCTCTGTAYTGGATAAAATTACTAACCGCATTTCTTCTGTTGATAAAGTTGATGTTCCACTAACACGTACTATCTACTGTAAAAACAGCTTTAGTCATAGTGGAGCTGTTGCAAGGAACATCCTTCCAAGTGAAATAAGGAAGGCAGTGCTCTTGTTAAAAGAGCTGATTCTAATGCACGGCATTCATGGAAAGCAGCTGTTTATTTTGATATTTCCTTTTTAAWATATAATAGTTAGTTAACTGATTTTGTATATAACTGTATATACTTGAATTTTTACCGTGGATAATATATAATTATTTTACCGTGGTTATGTGATATGTGTTGATCTCTTTATTATCTTTTTTCAAGAACATGGCCATCAAACAAGCTTTATTTGACATTGACGCTGACCCAGARGAACGGCATGACCTTAGTGAGATATTCCCGGATATTGTTGCTCGTCTAAAGAGTAGAGTGGATTTTTACAGAAAGAGCCTTCTTAAGATACGTAATAAACCTAATRACATTTGTGCTTTGAAAAACGCACAACGAGACAATGTATGGGGACCCTGGAAAGGAACAGAGTAATATTAAAATCAAATCAAATTTTCTCTAATATCTAAGTTGCGAAGTTCTGAATACATTGCTGTCTTCCGCTTCAGTTTCCCTATGTTTAACAGMTGTAGTTGTGACTTGGACTGTAACTACATGCGCGGACTTTGAAATGCCATTTAGTTCGAATTGAAGGACTCATTTTCATCAGGAAGGTCATAACAGTTTATCGTACCACATGCGATAGGGATAAATTTCTTTATCATGGACTACCAACTAGCTGATCAGGAGTCTGGTAACTATTRGAAGTTGAGGGAACCAGGACACTTCTTTATAAATCCTAATAATAAATAACTTTTTGTCTCAATAGCTTTAGCCAGACAACAAATTTCCTACTAATTGGGGTGACTCAAACACACACACGTCTCAAKATTGACTGTTTTAGCATAGGAAACCCCTCACAGCTAGTCAGTTTTGGGTTCAAAAGATAGTGTGCTTGAAGTCAGACCATGGGAGATCTTTTGCGCGTGCAAACTCCAGAAATTTAGATGAGCAGTTACCGTAGGAGTTATGAATAAAGGTCCCAGTAACGAAAAAGACAGCTGAAATACATTACTCGACGCGATAGATAGGTAGATTGACAAAAACGTAAATCTGAAGTCGGCCCGCCTACGGCTAGCCCGACTAATTATAGCGATTCTTTTTGAAAGGCGTGTCCATTCTTACCTGATGACTGATGATGCTCTACTAGTARCGAAACCATGGAAATTAGTTATTCAATCTGCTCCTGACAACCTGAAGTATAAAATCAACATGAGTCCGAAAAAATGCCATAGTAGGTGACGATATTTTGCGACAAGCCTTTGTGCAAATAAACCGAAGTTAGTGGCGTCGCGTTTTCATATAAAAACCAGTGATCGAAGTTCTAGTCATAAACTCTGTCTGAATCAAGTATTAACTCTGCTAGGATAATTGCCAATTTATGGCACTGCCCCGCTTGAGCCAGTTTAACTTTAACTTTGACTGAAAGACTAAAACATATGAAAATATCAGTATTTGACTGAAAGACTAAAACATATGAAAATATCAGTATTTGACAACGAATAACAATTAAATAATCAACCACGTTAACTTTTTTCATGTGTGAATTTCTAAAAAAATATAGTCGTATCCAGCATACAACAGTGATGTAAATCAGACAAACATTGAGATATTCGCGGGTAAAATGGTTTCCTCATTCAATCTACATACCATGTTGTCCCATTAAACGATTAAAAATCGCTTTTTCTCAGCCTGTCACGCATTACCAAATGTATTTTGATTGACAGATGAGAAATACATTCAACATGACGCTTTCTAAGCAAACACAACTCCTTCGAGCCATTGGCGATAGCCAACGAGTCTCACACTAAAGGTTTAGTGAGTATTTTGTTTTATTCTTCTCTTCGTTTGATCTGTTTTGTTCTTTGCATTGAGTTTGATCACGTGGTATTATATCGAACTGGCGCCCTACCCGTCAGCGTAATTTGACTCTCTTTCTATGGCGTTCCTTCTTGGTCTTGTTGTCTTCGGTTGGTTTTTAAGTTCAGATTTATCCCTGATCTAACGTCCTTTCGTTCGCTTCAAGGAAGAACCCAAGATTTAGAGGACTTTGTTATATCAAAGATGGCCTGCATGGGCATTACACTGGCTCTTATCCTAACGTGTGCCTTGTATCCAACATGTAAGTAACAAATAACCAACGCGGTCAAACCATGTCGAGTTAACAGCTCGATTTAAAACCTTTTATCGCATTAAGTTGCTCTTTTYACGAGACAAAGTCCCGAATATTTTATTTTCATGCATTTGGTTTAGTTCATGTGTTTATATCGGCACAAAATAGTCGCAATGTATTGCAAATACCAGTTAGTGTTGTTCAAGCAATGTAGTTTGTTGTCAGATAAGCGTTACTTTCAATCGCATTGAGGGCGAAAATGCAGTGTCATTTCGTTGTATCCTGACAAGGATTTTGCAAGGAAACTTCTTTGCSTTTTAMWCCTCTATTGGTGGCATTTTCCTMCAATTTACATTCATTTAATTTGGAACGTTTTTAAGCATCTCTTAATGATCAGTGATCGACTTTTCGTGACCGATGSATTTTGGAAACAAAAGTTCGCTTTGACCTTCGTGGAATGACAAACTTTCAGTTATCTTGTAAGGCGATATTTATTTTTGAATTCATAGTTATGTTTAAGTATTTTTATGCACATAATCTACTGTGAAACAGCTTTACATTTCGGGCGGGAAATTCCTGTTCCTTATACAAATCGATCGCATAGGCCTTCAGTCTTTATGAGAACTGACAACAATTAGCGTTAAACCAACATTTACAAAAGTGATATACTATTAAGCTTTTTAYTAATCCTTTTTCATTCTGTTTTTGTCGTTTCAAATTGAAAATTTAAACAAACTGTATGTTGTTTGAGTTCATGATCTCTTGCTTGCTGTCAAACCATCATCTCGATCCGATTAATGCCGAAACCTCTACCTGGGACAAAGTCACCCTTAAAAAATTCTTATTTCTTTCTACAACATTGGCAATGCTTTCACTAGAAGTGTATCAACCAGTCTAAATACTATCTTATCTTTTAACAATCATATTTATTTAATGTAAGTATGATATGAATTTACCGATATCCTATTACATCGTATTACGTCACCACAGTAAAGGCTATTACTATATTTTTGTATTTTGCTTGCCGGCCGATTTCTTTCTGATACAATATATTTGTTCTCCAAAAARCTATATTTTTAATCCCAGTAATCATTGTTGGAAACCCAGAGCAGTTGGTTATATCATTGCAAGTCGATGTCTTTAACTGTAGACTGTTTTGCAGAAGGTTTTACCGAGCGAATCAAAGTCCTACCTCAACTCCCAACTATTCTACAAATAAAAAATATATTTTCTTGTTCAGATGCAAAAGTTACAGTTTCCCCTAACACTGGAAATATAGTTCCGCCCAAGAATATCGAMATCAAATGTTCGATAAGCAGCCCAGATTCTTTTGATGGTTGGTACCGAGATGGTACAAAAATCASCGATTCTTCATCAGCGCGAGTACGAGTAGAAAAGAGAACCAGTTCTGATTATTACCTTGTCGTCACCAACACAAAACTGAGTGATGGTGGTTCATATCAATGCAGAGGCAGTACTGGTGCAAGCGAGACTTTTACACTTGATATTCAGTGTAAGTATGTTTATAATGAACAAGTAACTCTCTGGGTTGAATTTTGTAAAGTATTAATTGTCTATTTTTAACACCTTATTGATTTAAAAAGGTTAAACAAAAATAAAATCAATGCAATAAAGCAGAAAAAAGGTCACSCAAAGAGGAAGTTGTGTAAGTTACCCTAGATCTCATGCCCCTCCATTACCAGGGTAATGCYTCTCGGGTTCCATGCTGGGTATTATTGTATTGTTTTCAATCGATTTGTCGTTTCTTTGCTCGAGGATAGCAATTTCATCAAAGATGATGTCTTTATAGTAATAGAGTAACAAATTGTTAAGCTCAGTCAGTTGTAATGATGACCCGGTGAAGCCAATCGAACATTCGGCAATCGCAAGCACAATCGAGCKTTGCAATCGGACACAATCGTACTCACACAAAAAACACAAAGCAATCGAACAGAAATCGAACTTTGATTTTCGCAATGCAGGTTAGTAGGGTTACTAGGTGTTAAATGTAGACGAACGCTGTTATAGTGAAATCAGTCCCCGAAAACAAGGAAGTACAACCATTAAATGCAAAGCAGATTAGAATCTGAATCTTTTTTACGCTTTATTGGCTATAATATATTCCAGAACAAAATCGAACAATCCAATCTGATCCGGATCATAACTATGTCCGGATTAATCAATCTGTTCGATTCTATTTTGAAATCGTACTCACAACAACACTATTGTCTGATTTTACCAAAACCAATAGAGTTTTGTTGTTTTGTAATGTATTGTTTTGTGTCGTGTCGCGTCGTGTCATGTCGTGTCGTATTATATCGTATTATTTAGTATCATRTGTATGTTATCATACAATATTACAAACTAACCCTTGTTTTCAAATACATTTTAGTCGATACCAAAAGCGTCAAAAGAACTCAATACATTCGAATTGGYAACAACGATCGGATAGTCGTGGACGTTGCCGGGCGACCTCAACCATCGTTTACATGGAAAAGAGATGGAAARACCGTTGATATGACTTCAGGACGTTACAGTCAAAACTCCCAAGGCACCGTATCAATAAAGGATGTTAGAATTGCAGATAAAGGAAATTATACCTTACGAATTGTTCAAAACCTAATATCTGAGAATTTGAAAATCGAAGTCATCGCTTTTGGTAAGGATGCATTAGGCAGCAGCTGAAAATTATAATTTCTTGCGTTTTTTTCGGATGCAACTGAAGTTTTTACGTCAAATCGCCTTCCCCAACTGAAGACCATGACCCAACCCATATTCTAAAAAAAAGCATATAAGTTATTTCAAAACGAAAGAGTGGTAGAAATACTTTTAACGCGAGGCTTTTAGCCTTTAGCTTGCCTCATACTACACARTTACGGTTGCTGATAACAAATCCAATGAGCATGCATAATGATTCGTTCTAGAACCACCCATCATGACCGAAGTACCCCTGCCAGCCACAAGATACCTTACAGTAGGATTCAATACAACCTTCCATTGCAAAGCTAAAGGATACCCACCACCAACTTATCAATGGTTGAACAGAGCTAATAATCCTATTGATATAACAAACCCACGGTTTATTCCTGATGGAGAGTATTTCCACATCGTTAATATACAGCTTAGTGACAAAGGGAAATACACCTGTGTCGCTAGTAACGTCCAATATTATAAAGTCAATGCTAGTGCTGAAATTAGCGAGGTTTATGGTAAGTTMCATTCAGAACAAGAACAGATTTACATGTATTTTTGAGATCTTTTGTCTTTCAAAACACCAATTTTATGAAATTTCATAWTTAYAATTTGACACACCTGAATTCGAAAATGTACTGCGTTTTCATCTAKCTAATGAAYTAGTYACACATTTCGATCTCTCCCATTCAGTCCGCCCTACCATCCAAGAACAGTACCTTAAAGATGAAATCGTTGAACGAGGTGAGAAGGCGGATCTGGACTGTGTCGCTGATGGGACGCCAACTCCAACRGTCAGATGGATGAGAGATGGTCGTTTCGATATGCGTCAAGAGGTGAGAAAAATAGTTTGAGAAAAACAACAATTATGATCCATCATAAATGCATTGTCCTTTAGATAACGAAACGACGTAGCATCATACGTATTCGAGAAGCTCGTATGACTGACATGGGCAAATACCAGTGTGAGGCTACGAACCTGGCACGTGACCAACAAGGTCGTATTATTGTGGCTGATGCAACAATGGGCCTGTACATCAAATGTAAGTCACTTAGYGTTTTGACTCTGTATAATTTAGTGTATTATAACTTACATTTACACGTAAAATACTGGTTTTGACCAACAGCTAGGCCAATAATCAACAAGAARGGAACTCAAACTACTGTCTACTCATATCTTGGTAATCCAAAACCAGTTTACATCAGATGTAATTTCGAAGGTTACCCGTTCCCTAACGTTACTATCTGGTTTGATAACATCCAAATCGCCAACGGAACCGAGGTAGCAATCTTTGACATCATCACAAACGAGTTGGAAGACTTTGGAGACTATTATTGTTGGTCTTGGAATCTTCACGGTTCGAATAATGTTACTGTTCAGCTGTTACACGCAAGTACGTTTGACGTCGAACTCATCATGTAACCAAACACATCATATTTTCAATTTTTGGATTTGATAGCTGACTGTATTGATTTCTTTGTATTTTAGAGGCTCCCGCTAGACCCACTAATGTAGTAGCTAATGTGACATGCAATTCTGTCAAGCTAACGTGGGATGAACCTAAGGACACTGGAGGCATGCAAATAGTTCATTATGTAATWGAGTATGACGGCAAGCGATGGAATACTGAAGACACTTATCCAGAGTACTATATAGAGAACCTGAAGCGCAATAAGGTGTATACCATACAGATACGAGCGCGTAATAAGATGGGCGTTGGCGACCACGAGACTGTTACCATCACTACAAAGGAATACTGTAAGAAATATTSTTATATTCTTATCTACCAATTGTTGTTATAACYGGCCTCCGTAACTGTTATTCCAGGTCGACCAGGTCAYCCGATTATTTGGCATCCAATCCAAACTGTGATCAAGGATACAATGTTTTTCCTGAGATGGAAAGTACCTGATGATAATGGAGGTGATCCGAACATTCGATATAAAGTGGTAATAAACGAGGACCTCGACGATGGACCATATCCAACAAGTGATGAAATCATAGGTAATTAGTCAGGCTAGCCATAGCTAGCCCGACTTCRCGCTCTAAGAGCGTCTAGTTATATGATAAATAGAATTCAGTTGTAACTAATAGATTGCTGATTCAGTTTTGTTGCTAGTGGCTCGTATTCCAGATGTTTTCGTGTTCTCCGACAACTAGTGTTTTGTTATTTTTGAGRTGCTATCGTAAAAAATGGGCTTCCCATGTAATAAGCCCCTCCCCATTCCCAGCATTGGTACAATTGACCTTTTCATGCTTACTTGTGTATAGGTGTTACAGAGTATTACGTACATGAGTTAAAGTTCGGTATGAAGTACTATATCGAAGTATTTGCTATGAACCAAGGTGGAACAAGTGATCCTGCTATTGGTCTTTATGAAGTAGATAAGATTGGACGTAAGTTATCAATATGATAATTCCCATTATAATTATTATCATCTTGACTTGACATTTTTGTTTGTCTRCAGTCACATCACCACTTGGCAGCTCTTCGTGTCTGACGTTCAACCTAGTTACTATGCTCTGCTCTTTCATAAGCYTAGCTTTATTAATCGTATAAACAAGCAAAATGAGTGAGCATGGTTTGAAMCGAACTTCCAGTCAGCACTGTGTCCARTGACGTCAAGCTATGGACCAGGCTGCTTCATACATGCTATTTAGTGTAGCATACTCAACTAGCTTCTGTATAAATGTCATTTTATATTCTACAAACTCCTTTTATATTTACTATTAGAAAGCTCATCATTTTATAAATCAAAAAAATAGAACAAATGTTAACTTAAAATTCTCAATAGACACGCATTCGTCACGCCATGCGTTATGTGATGTTGTGTGACAGATGTAATAACCTTATGACGGTCTGCTTTCGTGCTTAAGTTATGTACAGTTGATAGTTAAACCGACAATGTGTGAAAATAGCCAACAAATATAATCTATATCTTATAGATTTTAATGTTTTAAACGATCTTTTTTGACAACCCAAAGATCGGTCTTTCAGATCACGTGATTTTGACAATATATTAACTTTAAATAATAAATGTATACTTTTGATATTCATAGTTACTAGGTGTATTTGTAGGTTTGAATATACTGTATCTATCAGAAATAAACTTAAAATACCAAGTTACGCCATATCTGTGTTTTTTTTAGTTCGAGATTTTTGTTCTTAAAGCGCTTACTCGGGCTGCAGAATAGAGCAGTCACGTAATATATGACGTCCCATTCTGTGATAAATATGACACATGTAGACAATTATGACTAYATTTTGCATATCCTGGTTTGGTTTTCACTGTACCAAAATAATAAAAGTTGCACCCATTTTCCCACGATTACGTGATATGTAGCATTACGTAATCAACAGATCAAAGTTATAGTTTAGATGTTTGATTATGACGTCAAATATGGTGATTTACTGGACGCRTCAATAATGTCAGGAGTAGTTGGTTTACTCGGGTTTGGATTTGCAAAAAGTCAATTCCTATTGTCCCGCGCCACGTTATATGTGACGTCACACGACATCGAGTGAACTTTGTGACAACTATATAAAAGAAAWGACTTCTGGGTAATTTTCACTGACAAACATACTGCGTATTTTGGTTACGTACTGTTCTTTCTAAAATACGACATAATATACATATATAATGAATTGGACAGCCCGAGTAGTTAGCTTTCACAATCTACCTGCTAAGGATTTACTTRCACAGAAACGTTATTCTATTTAAAACTCTGAATCTTATTATGACTTGCCGCTGAAAATTTATMAGAAATTTGAGGAAGTTTAACTAACAAACAAAGCAATGACAATTCGATACTAACACTTAACATATACTATCGTTCCTTCTGTTTCGATCTACAAGTAAAAACAGCGTTTTATTAGCTTCTACTGGTTCASCACGAGGTATAAATATTTGTTATTTAAAGATACTGGAGAATTTCGAATGGATCAACGAAACGTCAGTAATCACTATAACACTCTGTTTTTTATATTTTCGTTAGAAAACTCGATCAAAGTTACCTCGACTGTCAGTGAGTATTTTTTCCTTGCAACCCAACATGGTTTCAGCTAGAACTGAGTACAAATAAATCAAACTCATGCTCTTTTCTCTAACAACAAAAGAACACGTTCATTTTGGCGCTTTTATTTGTTTCCACCATGGCTGCTGCATAAATTACTGCTCGTTTCTAYATTCGACAAAAGGTATATCACGTGACAAATAAATGTTTTCAGCCGAAAAGAAGTCACATGTGCAGCCAAGTGAAGCAAGCGACGCCTCTGAGTGGTTGTTCGATGATTTTGGCTCTTATGTAAACTGTGGTTAGAACTGCATCGTATTTACTGGCTTCTTTTGAATTTGAAGTTTTTYGATCGATCGTTTCGACGTCAAGAGGCGAAACAATAAGGTATGTCGAATCACTCGCACATTTTGTCATGACCTAAGTCTCCGTTATCCCGCTCAAAGAACAATAAAACATACATGAGTTGAAATGGCCGTCAATTATATAACAAACTTTGATCAACTTAGAAAACACAACATTATAAGTAAACATCAAAACAAGGGTAAAAATGGTTTCCTTGCCCACCTTTGAATCATACTTATTGGTGCTGTATGATTCATATCTCAGTTCAACGATGCATGTTGAAAAATAACCATTGTTCGCGCTGCAAAACGTCAATCATATCGATCATAAAAACCTTTTCGTTTGCTGTTCAATAACTGTATGTAACTTGTTGGATTTAGAAAGATCGAGGATGGAGATTAAATGGCTGGTTTTACTAGTTGTTTGCGGTTCCGTGACGMTCGTAGGTAAGTTATTCCAAGTAATGTCGTTTATAAATAAGCCTGATCTAATCCCAAACGTATTTGATACTTCGTTTGTACGTGTGTGACCTAAAATTTATAATTATCATACTTTTTTCTCTTGCATAACTGTTAATGCATTTTTTCATCAAACTAAATTTGTTCAAACTACATATCAGTAAAGATGCGGTCGGATGGTCAAATTGAAATGTTCTTACAAACTTCTACAGTAACTAGAATGGGCAGAATGGTAACTAGATAAATATAAATGCAGCATTTAACTCTTGATACTTTACATTAACTTTTCAAGTAAACGAAAAAAAACGTTGATGTTTCCATTGCGTATGGATTTTCGTTGATTTGCTCGTATTCAAATTTGATGAATAATTTTACATAGTTGTCATTCCTTAAACAGTTCCCGTACAAATAAATTAACACCTATAGAAACATTTCCTCAGTCAAAACAGCTTTAATGTCTGTAGATATGTCAATATTCAAGCCCGGGCTATTCTTTACACATTAGTTAAAATCCTTAGTTAAAATCGTGCGAAATTGCTGTCAAGTTCAAATGTATCGAAAGAGTCAACCAAAGAACTTTGAGCACTTTTGATAGCGTGATTATGTTTGCTCAGTTTAGCAGCTTCTAGTTTATCAACAAAGTTTATATAGAGGTTCTGTTTTGTATGATCTGTTATTTATCTGTTGCAGTCCTGCTTTGTTCATTTTTATATCCTACAATACAGTCATTTGACAACATTAACAACGCTAACTTATATAAATATATCAAGAATATACTGTATAGCTGATATACTTGTTATAAAACTGCAATGATACGTCTGAATAACCCTACATAAGCATAATTTCAAAGATTTTGACTCATTTATCAGTCCTATTTAGTAAGAAAAAAAGCGAAAATCACATAAAATTACCCAAGATAAACCGATATTGAGCTTATTGTAATTCTTTCCATCATACATACAGTRCATACGCCAATCCAACTACTGGATCAGGCGATAGAAACATGTCAAAGCCTCACTCACTATTAACATCAATTCCCTTACAACAGTAAATAAATACATAGAAGTATACATAGATTAGATATTAGATATGTAGGAAAAGTTGACATGTAAAACATAATAATGGAGGAGTTCAAGGTAGGCCATGAAATTTTCAACTTGACTTATGGCAGCAGGTAGAGGTTTAGCTTATTCTTGCACACAGTGATTAGAAAGTATTTAAACTGGTTTACATTGACTTTATATTCGATTTCATGAAGCAGTTTGTTTCAAAGATTGCTAGTTCTTGGTTAAAATGCACATGATAACAAAAACTATACTCATGTGCATAAG